GCTGTCACTGAAGATACGTCAAGTGACCACCAGGGCCCTTGTTTTGCCTCAACAAATTCTCTACCCTCGAAATTAACGGATTTTGAACTGCTCAATGAACAGTGCATCGAGAAGGGGGACTTTTTCCTTTGTGCTGAATTAGGCCATTCGGATTGTCAAAAAACAGAAGTTGCACCACGACAGTGCCTCTCAAAAGTTAGTCCTCATGTCTCTGTCCCGCCCATCATTTTTAAAATTTCCGGTTTCAAAGTTTCTCATAGCATTAATAAAAACGAGCCCAACACAAGCGAAGGTGGATCAGTCAGTGGAAAAATTGGTGAAAGCCCGATTCATCCTCTTTTATCACGCCGGGGGTCCTCACGTGAGGGCGCTGCACGGAAGTTCGTCCTTGTCAACTCTCCGTCCCCTTTCAGTTCCCTCCGTACACGTAGAACGCCTGTGAAATGTCAAGACGGTGTGTACGGCTCTGAGGCTATATGTGGTTTAAGCAAACAATTTTCAGCCACAGTGCAGGATGCTAAAGATGGCCGAAGCATGGGTGACCACACCGAAGATGACAAAGACCAAATGGGCTACAAAGTCAACGGTGAAAAAGCCCATCGTTTGGAACAGGAGATTTCTGGCAGCCGGGAGGCACTTGTATTAGTCAGCCCCCTATCTCCACTGCACTCTGCGCCACAACAGGAGAATGAAGGCGAGGGTGATTCACCTGTAGGAAACCAAACACCTAAAGAAAGAGCAGAACATCAGAGTATTTTTCCATCTGCGCTGGACTTGACAGAAAGCTGTGAACCCATTCCTGATCATAGTGATAGTGAATTTGAAAGTACGCTAGTCGACGATTCCATTTATGATTACCCGCAGGAATCTGAAATGGACATTACATCGCCTAGTATTTACGAACAACTGCTCAGTCTAACAGGCTGTGCTACAGTCTCCAGTGCAAAAAGAAAGATGTGCGCTGAAAATGAACGAGCTAACAAGACGGTGAGGAACTACGTCGATTCTCCTAAAATTGGACACTTTATGGAAACGCGAACAGTTCAAAATCGTGACACTGAGGCTAAGCGTAACAGTGTACTTTACGCCAAGAAAGCACTAAACATGAACATGGATACGAAGGCAGACAATAAACCACCAAAGAATTCCGCTGCGGGACCGCGGTTCAAGAAAAAACCCAATAAAACGAAAACGCTTATTGGGGGCATGTCCGATGATATGGATATCCACACTGTGGATATACATGCCGAAA